ATGGTATTATTGTGTACACAATTATGTTATTCAACTAGAAGAATGTAAAAATTTAAGGGGCTCAGCCCCTCCCCCCGAACCACGCTATTGTTTTGTACTGTATGACCTTCCTTGCTGCTGGAGAAGTTTTTGGATAGCAGTTTAGTCTTATCTTGCTGACTGTTTGCTCAATAAATGTATACACACACGAATGTGCAATGATAAGTATAATTTGCTAGTTGTTTTGTATTTATCTGCTTTCTCTTTCATTTGTACAGTAACACTGATACACAGCATGAAGATGAGGAACAACTAATTATAACAAGTACACATTGAGAAAAAAATTTTTTTTAACTTTTAAATCGTCAAATGGTCAAAACTAGAAAAAAATGCAAAATTTAAACAATATAAAACAAAATAATTGTATTTTAAGTGATTATTAATCATACTATGCTAAATATAAAACAATGTGAAATAAGTACATTAATTTCTCAATGGTCCGTAAGCTGGATTACTTGTTAGTGGAACAGAACTGGTGGCTCCTCCTTTAGTAGTAGTGATCTCATCATACACAGCAACTGATGCTGTTGTTCCTCCCTCATCTCGTTTAACCCATTCAACTGGTTTAACCTGTTCAACTAGTTCAACCTGTTCAACTGGTTTATTGGATCTGCTCCTAACACACAGCAGTGTCAGTATTATTGACAGTGTTGAAGACAGTATAGCTGTCAGTATAAATGTCACTGATACACTAACTGCAATAGGTACAGTAGTACTGGAGGCAGGATTACAACCTAATGTATAGCAATGTATAGGAATGACTATAGGACTATTATTACCTTCAGTAACAGAAACACTCGGAGTAGTTTGAGTAGTACTTGGAGTTGAACTAATAATGTATGAAGTAAGGGAAGAAGTGAAATGAACTGTACTAGTTGAAGGTATTTCAGGTGGTGGTGGTGTAGCAAGTATAGCTAAAGTACATATTATATATTCATATTTACAGTAAAATAATAACTAACTTATTGTAGCTGATGTAACAGTACCACTTCCTAATACATTAACAGCTTCCACTGAAACAGTATATACTAAACCAACTGAAAAACCAGACAGAGTTAGTGAAGTAACATTAGTTGATATATCCTGAATTTTATTAGAAATGTTATACTGAATATTATATTGAGTTATAGGAGGACGAGATGATTGTTGCTTTAAATAATAATAAAATTGATATCATTAATTTTATTATTAATTAATAATGATTTACTGACTTCATTCCATGATACAGTGATGTTAACAGTTTCATTAGTATCAGTAGGATAATCAGTTTGTGTTAACGTCAGATTAGCAACAGATAAAGGAACTAAAAATAATTTTAAAATAAAATATTAATTTCTAAACTTACCATTGGGTGTAAGCATTTTCGTTAACTGAGGGTCTATATACCTACTACCAGTATCAGAAATATATATACCATATGAATATTCTGTATCATTAAGTTGAGATATAGGCAGGAGAATACTAGTAATTGAACGATCAAAAATTCGCTCTAAAGTATTAGGATTATTTGGACTTGTAGTTAATAATCGATACTCCTCAAAACAAGGATGGGTTGATA